AAATTTTCACTGTCGATAGGATTTGAACACCCAACCTACCACTTGGAGGGTTGACAACCTGACCACTTCACTAGGTCGCCACATCTCTATTTTGAAAATTATAGTAATTAAATAAAATATTTCTCTTTATAATTTGAAACTTTAATATTTTTTTAAAGAAACTAATACTATTAATATTGTTTTATTATTACTGTTATTAAATAAGATTATATAATTATAATTTATTATAAAAACTTAATACTAAATATAGATTTCAATTAGATTAAAATTGCATATAAAGTTAGAGGCATAATAACCTAGTGAAGTAAATAGATTGTCAACTTCTAAGTAACAGATCTAGAGTTCAAATTCTAGTAATAGTAAAAATTTGCAATTTTTTTTATATTATGATTAACTGTTTTCTCTAATTAGTTAAGATTAGATACTTGTAACTTATATCATACTAGCATAACTGAAAGGTCTAGACATTTGTACAACATTATACAAAGAAATACAAATCAGTACTAGGTGATGTGAACCCAAGATAAGTTCTTAGGTCATATAAATTATAGAAACCAGGTAGAAAGATAAAAGTCTACTTAGAAGACTCAAGTAGAAAGGTAACTCAAACTTTCAATAATGCTATTATAAAGACTAAACCTATAAAACAGAGTTAAAACTCATAAAGTTAGGCAAATGTGCTAATCTTTAGAAAAGAACTAGATGAATCAATCAGGCTATCAGAATTTCTGAATTTTGAAGAAAAAAATACATATTAGAAAACATATAAACTAAAGGTATAGTTATAATCTATTTTTTTGGACTATTTGAGTTAGCAACTTAATAGAACTTAAATTAAATACCAAAATAGTAGAAATATGTTGTGAAGTTAGTACCAAGTTTAGAATAAACTCTACAAAAACATAGCAGTTTAATAGTATGCTCTAACTGCTAGTATTGATCTTAACTATAATAATATCAAATTAACTATAAGAATAGAATACAAAAGATTTTGAAAGATTTAGTACAAAGTTAAAGATTCTTTATATAAGTAAATAAACTACTTTAAAGACTTAGTGATCATAACATATTTTTACTGATATTAATCAGAATCATTGATAGGCATAGGTAGGTGAGTGGATACAGAAACTAGAATGATTAAATAAAAAACCTACAAGCAGGTTTCAGGTATAACAATTAATATAAAACCTTTGGGTAAACTATTTAAATTAGACAATAACTAAAGTTGTATAAGTAACTAGTTGTATATTCTTTCTATAATTGCTTTCTGTGATTGTAATGCAACCATTAGCCAAATATACTATTAATAAAATCCTGGGTCACAAGTACTCATCTTAATATTTTTTAAAAAAAAAACTACATATGAAAATTAAATTGAATGCATTATAGAAGTTATGTCATGTAAATTAAATTCTAATTATACATCACATACTGTATATTATGATTTTGATTGATTATCAAATCTGACTTATAAAATTTGAGCATTATTTTATACAACTGTAATAGAAGTTGGAACTCATGCAGAAAAAAATTTTTACCTATTAACTGGACTTAAGTTTCTTCACTCTGCTTCAGAAATTGCTAATTTAGACATTTAGTCACATAATATTTATTTAGTCAACTATTTAGGCATTTATAATATTTATTTAGTCAACTATTTAGACATTTAGTCATATAATATTTATTTAGTCAACTATTTAGACATTTAGTCAAATTTAGGATTTTGACATTTCGACAAAAAATAATATCATGTCAAAATATATTTAGACACTTAATTGTCTAAATAGTTGACTAAATAAGGTATTTCGACTAACAAAATTAGTATAACTGCTAAGTATAAACTTTTTTGCATCATAAAAAATTTTTTCATAATGATCACCAATGATTTATAATGCAAAAATACTGTTTCTGATGAATTGTTGACACTGTTTCTAATAGTATAAAAACAAATATTGATTTATATACCATTTCTAATAAGGTTCTAAAAAAAAAACCTTTAAAATACAATACTACTATAGGGAAGTAACAGGAGGGAACGTACCCGATCCAAAGTGAATCACACACACGGTGTGATCAATTAAAACCAAAATAAATAATTTTAGTTTTAACTGATCACACCGTGTGTGAGATTCACTTTGGATCGGGTACATTCCCTCCTGTTTAGCGAAGTATATGAAAAAAGTTAATATTAAGGTTCGTTTTTAAAACTCTATCAGGAACAATACTCAAACAAATTTTTTTTAACACCATCAGGATCGGTACCAATGATCAAGAACGGCATTTTTGCATTTACAATAATTAAAATTAAGTTTTTATCAAAGCAAAAATCAATTTTTTTAATATTTAGGGTAAGGTTTAAAGCTAGAACTAAAATAAAAGAGGGTTTATACTCAGAATTTTCATGGATTATTTTTTTTATTAGAACCAAAGTAATTTCGTTAATAAAATTTTATTTATATTATGCACTGGTAGTGGTGATAAATAGCAAATCTCATTAATGAAATTAGAAACTTTTATATAAGGCATATGTAAGTTGTCGTTTTTATGTTTTATTAGTAAAAAAATGATACATCGATCGCATTTATAATTGATAATAATTTGCCAAAATTCTTTTTTTAATATTATACTAATAGAAATTCTAACATTATTGGAAAAAATTATTAGTACATAATTAAATTGTTATAATGCGTAAAAAATAGTTATACTACAATGTTTTTCATGCAAATTTTTAGATGTAAATTAATATATATATATAATTGTCAAAATTCAAGACCACAATTCGTCAAAATTTATCTCTTCTATAAGAAAGTAAATTTTTCTTAAAAACATTAAGTACATATGTACGTACATAGGCAGCATGTGGAAATATGCAGACCAAAGAGATATGTAGTTTTCTTAGTTTTCTTCAACAATCCCTGAAACTAAATTGAAGTTTTGGTCGATTGTCCATTATGTCATCAATTTCTTTTAAGATTTCCGGTGTTAATTTTGAAGTCAACCTTACGGCTTCAAGATTTTCTATCATTTGTTCAGGTTTAGATACACCAGTAATCACGGTATTAACATTAGGTTGTTTCATACACCTAATGTATAGTTAGAAATTACAAATTTATAATCGATCAAAGGGAAAAAGATGTTCTTAATAAAAAAAAATTTACCATGCAAGTGCGAGTTGGGCAGGAGTAACATGAATCCGCTCTGCAATAGGCTTACATGTTAAAAAAAAGTATATAAACCATTTTAAAACATATCAAATCATTTATAAACGAAAAAAAAGAAAGTTGAAAAATTTACCATTAGCCTTTTCACTTTTTCAATTTTAAGTTTACCTTCTGGACTTAACCAACCATCTCTTAACATTTGCATTTGTGTGTTATCTTCTAATGCAAAACGAGAATCTTTATCTATATGATCATTATGTTTTCCGGTAAGGACACCCCCAGAAAGAGGTGACCAGACTGCAGCACCCATCTTATAATTATTAAATAAAGGGACATACTCTTTTTCTACACGTTCTCTATGAAGCAAATTATATTGTACCTAAAATAAATAAATAAATAAATAAAATAAATATATAAAACTATTTCATCTTTAAAAAATAAAAATCAATTGCTTACTTGTTCGGCCTTTGTAAGAATATTTATAGAATTTTAATAAAAAAAAGAATTAAATTGATAAAAATTTAACCGATTACTTTATTCGGTAATATGTTTTTTATAATGTACTAACTGAAAAGAGGATTACCAGTGGAGGAATAAGTCTGAGTTTGTTGGCTACACAATGAGCTTCTACAATAAGATGAACAGGCCATTCAGAAGTTCCCCAATAGAATGCTTTTCCTTGATCAATTACAAAGTTAAATGCGCGAACTATTTCCGTCATTGGCTTTAATAATTAATAAATGATTGAAATTTTGAAAATCGAAAGCAACTCACAGAAATAAAAGATAAAAAAAAAAAAATAAATAAATAAATAAAATAAATAAATAATAATAAAACGTACAGTATCAGGGTCTGGTCTATGCGCGTATACAATATCAACGTACTCTAATCCTAATCTTTTTAAAGAAGCATTTAACCCTTCTACAATATGTTTTCTTGACAGTCCACGGTCATTAGGACCTTTACCACCCCAGAATATTTTTGTAGATATTACGAAACCGGATCTACTCCAACCCAACTTTTTTATTGCGCATCCCATATCAATTTCGGATTGACCACCAGAATAAACTTCAGCAGTATCAAAATGATTAATGCCATTATCAAATGCTATTTGCATACATTTTTGAGTAACATCTTTAATAAGAGTTTTCAAAGAGAATAAGGAATATTAATTAGTTTATGAGGATATAAAATTACGTAATATATATATATATAGATATATATATATTTATTTTTTTTTTCACCTGTAGAAATTCTACCCCCAAAGTTAACCCAACCACCGAGAGAAAGAACCGATACTTTGAGTCCACTATCACCCAAATATCGATATTCCATTTTTTTTATTTTTTTTTTATTTTTTTTACGATATTATTTTTCCTACAAGATAACTCATATTCCAATTTAAAGATGGTCAATTTAAGAAGATGGTACAAAAATCATTTTTATAATTAATTTATTTCATAAAAGGAATTTTGAATACAAGGATTGTTTACGTAAGAACCAAAATTAGTATTGTGGCTCGTACATGGATTTTAAATATGATGATGCAAGCCTCTCTTGAAACTGTCACATTGTTCATTGTTGCGGCGAGAAATCTCCGATGTTATCTGCATAATCGAATGGTACAAATAATTTGTGATGACCAACGGGTCTTACAAGTCCGTTTAAAGGATAATTCTAGTAGTTAGTGCACAGCAATTAGCTCTTAGTTCTCTTAAAAACTCTTTCAGTAAAAATTTTGAATTCTCAAGTAAAAATAAGAGTGTAAATCGAAACTGAATTTTATAAGAATTAAGATTTAGATATTTAATTTATCGCGTTTCAAGAAATAAAAAGTTATACGAAATGGTTAGAGCAAGAGTTCCGCGTGTGCATCAAAGAGGATCGTTATATCCGATGGCGGTCGAAAGAAAACCTTCAAAAAATGAATCAAACGAAGTAGCAACATACGATTCACAGAAAGACAATTCAGATACAAAAACATTAGAAATAAATTTACAGCCTATAACGACATCTAACGAGATTATAAAAGAATTTCATGAAGAGTCACCCATAACGTCTCCGGAAGAGTCAGTGGAAGAATTTCCTTTAACACCTCAAAGTGAGTCTATGGAAGAAGTTCACAAAGAAAGAAGTTATAAACGGAGGGAACAAGCGAACATAGAAACGCCGTTATTAAATGAACTAACTAAAGAAGAAACTCGTAAGCGAAGAAGGACATCCATCGCAGTAACATTGCCTTATGAACAATTAATCACATTTGATGGTATCTATGGGTCACAACGAATAGAAGAAGTTGAAGAAATGAAGGAACCGATTGTTGATCCAATTGTTGAACAACGGATTCCGTATCCGGTTCCATTTCCTTCTTCTTATGAGATCGAGGTAATATATTTTTTCGCATTTCAGGATGTTTGATTGATTGATTGAATCTAATTTTTACGCCAAACTAAAAGTACCAACAGATGTCGCAATTATCAACACCACCAACACCGACATCATTTACCGAGCCAATTCAATATCTAGAGAGTTTTCAGACGATTCCTAATGAAGTTGAACCACCAAAGAGTCCACTTAAACATGGTGATGTTTTTTTAACGGAATGGCCTGATTCAAATTATATGGAATTTATAGAAAGTTATCAATGATAATAGTTGTTGAAAAAAAAGAAAAAAAAACAGACCTTAAAAACTACATTTTTTTTTTTCGAGCAGCATAAACAAAAGTGCGCGAAATTAAAAGTTTAAAAATTAAGGTCTTTATAAATAATATTTATGTTATTTATATGTATTAATCGTTTTTTTTTTTTTTTTACAAGATTTAAGTGAAAAATAGTAAATTTGGAATATTTAATTAATTTATCATACTGAAAATAATACCTAACGAAGATTGATATAGTGTGAGAAAAAAACCATGATTTCAACGATCTTTTTTAATAAAAAAAAAAAACGAAAAAAAATTTGTATTATTTATATGATTGAAATTTACAAATGTGTTAACCCTGGAGGTACGTAATATGTGGAAGTTTTTTTTAAATAAGTGAATTACTTTTATATTATATCAATATTTAAATGTTTGGAAATCTATGATATGGATATTGCGTTTAAGGTTGTTTTTTTTTTCTCTTAAACTTCGCATTGCATTGCATTTCAAACATACGATCTCAGTAAATATCTTTTGCCTCAAAAAAAAAAAAAAAATAAAATAAAAATAAAAAACCAATGAAGACTGATTTACAGGCTCGTATAATCGTACAATTATAAGTTGGATCAATTCGTTTTTACAGTATTTCATTATTCTTTTCATCGATCGTGTTTAAAGCACGTACAGTACGTACTGTGTTCTCATGTATGTTAGCGATTATTATAATCACAATTTTCTCGAATATATATTGATACCTTTAGCGAATTTAATTTCAGCCAATTAAGCAATATACTAACGCTAATTTATTTTTAAATTAAAGGATAACCTTTTCGTAGATCGCGACATATAGGTTATCCTGTTTAGGAAAATGTTGAAACGATACACCACATTTTTTTTATTATACAATTTTAAATTGTTCATGTGTTAAACTTCGTAACACATCCTCTCGATGGTGGTAGATGCGCTTCTCATTAAATTATTTGGATTACCATTATTGGATTTTAATGGCGCGTTTATTTATCTTTCAGCAAGTTATTTCTTGAAATTGATGTTACCGTATATCTTGTTGGTACAATTTATAATATTTAAACATTTATGTCTATATGATACAAAAAAAAATTCGTCCTACCTCAGATGTGATCATATACTAAACAGTTTTTTACCGTTACATAGCGAAATTAAATCACACACGGTACGTATTAACCAACGATAAGTTAGAGGTATTTATAACAATTTGATTTAATCAACGAACGAACATTACGTCTTTTAGGCGTCAAAATTGAGATCAATAATATCCAATTTAGTATTGCGGAAATTATTTTACTCTGGTGAAATATTTCAGATTTTGAAGTAATTACATCCACAACACTACTATATATTTTCATGCTGGTGAAATAATTGAAATAATTCTGATTTTTTTTAAGTAGTTTCGATCGCAATACTAATCCTATTATTTTTTCCTCGGAAATTTGCAATGTATGTAAATGCAATCGATTCACCAATTACGAACTAACATTTGCCCTGAAGGTAGGACGGATGTTGGTCATGTCAACCTAGAATTAGAAGGCACATTAAGTCTTTAGTGATAATTAAATGTATAGTTGACGATTTGTGAAATTTTTTACATTTCTGCATTTCCGCAATAACAATACAAGAACATTGTATTGTAATTAATTTGTCGCAAGTTGAGTTAACTATAGTTAGTTGTCGTACTAGTTGTTTATATGAAATGACTAATAGGTAAGATTAATACGTAACATGTGTTTCTGATCACCATGGAACGGGATTCCATCTGTTATACATTACTTCTGGTTTAAACGGAGATGTATTCCGGATGAACCAAGATCAGGAGATGAAAATCGAGGGAATGCGATCTTGTTATACGTATCGTTATATTGTGTCTTTCTGCACGAAACTTTATTCCTTATAAATATACGTACATACGTAAATGTCGGATTATGTACTCCTAATTTTCATTAATATAAATGTGGTTATACAGTAGGTACGTTAAATGTACGTTAAACGTATATTAAATATATTGAGCCTTTTCAAAGTGTATTTACTAGTAGATTTGTAGGTATGAATTTTGTATTATAATGTATTGTATTAACCTATGCACGTGCATTAACTTGGAAGTAAAATAAAAAATATATTATGAGAGTTTCTAAATTTATTCCATCGCATAATATATTTTTTATTTTACTTCCAAGTTAGTGCACGCACATAGGTCAATACAAAATTCGTACCTACAAATCTACTAGTAAATACACTTTGAAAAGGCCCATATATATATATAGTATACTTATTTATACGTACGTGGCAATTCCGAAACGTTTGCCAAAATTACACGTATACGTATCGGTACGTATATACTTTTTAAAAGGATAATACCATACCTATCAATTGCATGCAATAAAGTTTATACAATCGTCACGTTATGTAACATTATAATAATAATGATAATAATAAATTGTACTACTTATTTCCAACTCCTTTAGTCTCATACGTAACGATCGACATTAAAAATATTAAATAGGGTACGTACGTAAAGACCGCATTTTCAATAATCAGGTCTAGTTTAACATGTCCTTAAAAATTCACAATAACAATCTGTCCTTTTCAAAGATGGAATCCGCAATTGACACAGTTTTGGAATCACTGTAATTTAAAAAGTCATTTCTTAATTTTTATTTCTTTTTTTTTTATAACGAATGACAAATATTATTATTATTAATTTTATTATTATTATTATTAAATCGATTAAATTCTAATTTAAACAATATAGAATCAAAACAGAAGGTGTTAAAGGAGTTTTGGTTGCGGACGCACATGGCTTATGCATTGGAGGTGAAATTTTAAAATCATCGTATTTTATATTTATTAATTTAATTAATAAAAATTAATAAAAAAAATTTTTTATTTATAAATTTGTGAAGCTCGGGGAATAGCAAATCCAAACTGTGCTGGATTCGTTACAGCAATTGCTACACATGCGAAAGCCTTAAATGATGACCCAAATTCACAAGCTCCAACAACAAAGATTGAGACTGATAATTCGTGGGTCTATTTGATTTCTTTATCATTTCATTTTCTGTAAATTTTACTGATTTTATTTTTTGGTAACAGTATAATATTGATATACAACGATGGAAATTATACTCTCGCTGTTTTTAAATGATTATTATTTATTAGTGTCAGTATTATTATTATTTTATTTTTTTTTTTTTATTTATTTATTTTTTTTTTTTAGATAATAAACGACCTTTTTTTAAAAAAATAAAAAATAACCAGTGTCTTTTAATTTTATCTATGAAGCTACCATTGTATTCTAACAAAAAAATTGATCGATACAGAATTTTTGCTATAATATCGTTATTGTTAAATTTAATGATATCAAATCTATATAGAATGGTTTGGGCATATTCGTTTATATCTCCGACTATATCGCTAGCTAAATTTTTGGCTAAATATTTAACTAAAGCTCTGACATTAAAATATACAACTACCTCGGATGTAATTTTTGCGTAAGTGGTTCAGATTGATAACGTGCAAGGTTGTATAAATTCTTGCACCCATAATACTAGCACTAGTACGGTAGTAGCTTAGTGGTAGAGAATAGCAGGATTGTTTATCATTTATTGTTTGTTTTCATCATATTTACTAGGTAAGTCAGTAGAAACGCACAAAATTTTGCTTTAAAAAAAAAAAAAAAGAATTCACATATGGGGTCTTTGCCTTGAAAATCAAGTTTGGATCATATGATTTACTATGTCCCGTAAGGTCATTTTCAAGGCAAAGACCCCATATTTTTACTGAATTCATTTCCATATATGTTTTTGTAAAAAATTGAGTGATTTAGTTAATACACAGGTATAAGCAATTCTTTGTAAAAGAGAAATTTATAATAAAACCATGTTTCACAAATATTAGGCGAGGCGAGTTAATAGAAATTTCTTTTAGTGAATTTTTAAAACTTTGAGCAAATGAAATATTAGTTTCTGTTTAATTATTCAAGGTGTTGTAATCTTTAAAAAATCAGTACTTGTCAAATATATATATATATATTAAAATTAGTCACAAATTTCACAAACTGTAAATAAATTTCTATGCCTCTTTAATTATTAATTAGTAAAGATTTATCCTGAAGTAGATGATTTCAAGTTTAACAATATATGTATATACAATCACTCATTTTAAGTATTATTCACGCGTTATTTCGATTATATACGTGTTATTTTTAAAAGATCAGATTTTAGAAATAATGTGCAACCTACATTTAACTCATGACAAACATAGTCTCACTTGGAAAGCATTTGCCATAGTTTCATAAGATTTAGATTGTTAAAAACTTAACTTTTGTTATGTATATTTATACATTTCGTTTTACAAATCAGCAATCGATTAGTTGATTATAGAAGCTTTTTATAAGTCGATTAAACGGGTATAGGCTTGTGAACTTGAGTTTGGAACCGGCTTTAATCGGTTAACATAATGAAATGTAAAACTGGCTCCAAATCCAAATTGCAATATTGTAATACGTAAAAATTCTCATCGCTTTTCATAATATATATTAGATGTATTTACATCATCCACACAATATTTGATCGAAGAGATGCTAACTTTTTTTATGTTTATTTTGTGGAATTCCTTGTCCTGTTTTCGTTTATGATTGTTTTGGATTCTTTGCATAATGAATATTAATGTTTAAAGCTAGAAATGGTTTTTATGTTTATTAGTAACATTATATTCTCAAGAAGTACTTTACCGACAACTGATTTACGCCGACCAATCAAACTTTTGTCTAGACTTTTAACTCGGTTCTAGAATAAGAAAAGCAACGGCCACTACTCTTTGTGAAATACTATTCTGACTTGTCTGAATATCCGGGATAATCATGATTAAAAACACTAGTGAGGACTACGTAGTGAGAACTAGTGAGGATCTTTATGTTAATTGACTCAGATTAGTGTTAGGGTTATCGTAATGATAAATAATTGTAATATAT